TCTGGACCGGGAGAATGCTCTCGTTCGCTCAGAATCGCTGGTCACAGCAGGAGGAACCCTCATCGACTCGATCAGAAAGTCTCTGAAGCGAAAAGGATAGCGTCTGCTGGCGCCAGGTGAGCTTATATACTCAGTTGATTGCTTATGCCGCTCACCTGCGCAGGCTTGCGCTGCCAATTCATTCTTAATTGGCCCGTTCAATACTCTTTCAGACGAGTAGCTTCTGAACCGAACCTCCCAATGCGTGGATTTTACAAATCAAATCCACTTATAGTGCTGAAGTTCCCCCCGAAGGGGAACCAAACTTTCCTAGTTAGCCCTTATAACCACTTTAAGTCCTAAAACTGCAGTTTAAGTGGAATACTAGTATCTTGCAAAAAAGGGCCATCATCATCATTACCCTGCAGGCTGCAATTTACTCATGGGTCTGCGAGACAATAAATAAGAAGAGCGGAGCTGCGGCAAAATAATGAATAAAAAGAGTGAGGCTCTGGTCAAATAAATAAATAAATAAATGAAAAAAAGTGTGACTGCTGAAGTTCAAGCAGCTAGAAACACCGGCCCTCGCGGCCAAAAAATGGACCGGCCTACCGGAAACTCTCCCGGTCCTCTTGATTGGCCAATCCGGGCCTGCTATAAAATATCCAGCAAAATATAATGTACTATCACCATGGCAAAAACAAAAGAATGTAGCTATTTGAATAGAGTTATTAAAACTATTATGTTTAAAAATATGTTGAAAACAATCTGCTTTCCGTCAAACATCACTTGGAAAATATTTTAATAAGAATAAAGCTAATCATTTTATCTTCAACTGCATATGAACGTCTCCACTAACAATATTTGGTTTATTTTATGTGCATGCTTGTGTAGGGTTTAGATTTTAAATGCCCAAGACTAGATTTTAATTGTTTGATTGTTGCTGTAAACATATTTATCATTCATAAACTGGAAAAACAAGTGCAGAAAGCCCTGAGGTGAATTAATACTTTCACATTATTAGAAAGAACAGTTATTGTTAGTCATAGTCTTTGGTGTGAATGATTCATTGAATTGTAATCCATGTAACAAACATTTATAAATGACCAAGTGGGAAAGGATAGGGTTAAATGATTGAATGAATGAATGAATGAATGAATGAATGAATGAATGAATGAATGAATGAATGAATGAATGAATGAATGAATGAATGAATTACTGTCTTTATATTTATGAGCAGTACACATATAATAACTAATCCAGCCCAATTGACATTATGAAACGTTCCAAACTTCCACATGTAATGTTTATTTATACTCATTGCCAGAGGATGTTCTCACACACTACGTCCATCCAAATGTGTAGTATTTCCCTCGTCTCTCATATGTTCAGTTGCATCTAGTAAAACCATCATAAAAGAGTTTCATTTACCAATGTTCTACAAACCTTTCAGTTCAGAAGTGTACAGATTAGTGTTCATATTTAATAGTACAATGTACTGTTACATTGAACATGCATGATAAAAAAACTTGAATAATGAGTTATTATTTAAACTTTTTGTTTAATTTAAGTTCCAAGGTTCTGAAGTTCCAGAACACACCCACTGATTGAGTGCAATGGTAGCTCAAAGATATTTAGGAGTTTAAACAAACTTCACCAAAAAAGTTATTTGTCAGTAAGGTGTTATGAACAGCCAAAACGACCTTAGAACAAACTTAGTTGAGGCTGCATTTTGTTTGAAGTGGCGTCAATTCAGTTTGTTCTTTAATTTAGTTTAAAGTATACCGGGGCCTTTAGAGTGCCGTTCAAGAATATAGTATTGTTGGTTTGGCTCTGATTTTCATCAAAGCACACAATTCTTGAAGACTTAAAGACATATTTATTTTCAAACATAAACATGTGATATTCTTAAAGTTAAAGTTTAATATCTATTTAACATTAAAAGGTGTTATTAATTTATTAAACTGGGTTAATAATTAAATCAGTTGTATTTTTAACTAACAATAACAGTAATTGTAATAAATGTGGCTATTTCTCACTATTAGTTTTAATGCATTAATGCATTATCAAGAGTGGTAATTGCAAAGTGCTACCTATTGTATTGTATTTAATAATACCTTTTTCAATGTATAATTTCATGATCATTTGTTTACTCTGAACATTTATCTACAAGTAAATACAAAGTAGCTTTTTTGCAGCTTAGATATGCAATATAATATTGTATATGAAAATTTAAGCTTAAGAAATGATCGCAACAAGAACATTTTATATTGTTATAAGCCCAGTGCACATTTTAAACATTGATGGATTCTCCTATGTTTGCTTACATTTGTTGTTATGTAGGAGTAATGTTTATTCCTTTTTATTTTATATGCAACGGAATCATTATGGAGTGCTCAATCACATGCACTGTATGTTTCCTTCATGCTTGTAGCCAAAAGGCATGCATGCGTAGAGAGTCGACAAATGAGACTAACGCCAAATCATAAATCATATGAGCTTTCAGGAAATCCCCTCTACCTAAAGGCATGCAGAGGTTGGCAAAGTCTATGGAAGGTGAACCTGCAACCTTAAGCCAAATAAAAAAACATCATGCTAATACTCCTGATTTATTGCTATTCTCCTACAGAGAACAGAGACTTTATTTTAAGTTAATGTAAAGGAGTCTTCACTAGATGCTGAATAAAATGCTTTTGTAGGAAAACCACTGTACAAAGAAAAATGCTGTACAAAGATATGGAGTGTACAGCAGTTCTCATTCATTTCTATGATCTACACAAACAGTGAATGAATGTTTGACAGAAAGTCAGTAGATGTCAAGTTGTTATGAAAGGTGCATGATCCAATTTAGCCGTTTCTCTAACTGTAGAGCCGTGGACCCTTCCATCTCTTAAATTCAGAGCTTTACTGCTGAAAGAGCATCAACATGCAGATAGATATGTTTTGTGTGATGTAAACAATTAACTTCATATTATAAGTGTGTGTTAAAAGAATAGCTCACCCAACAATTTCAATTCTGTCATCATTTACTCACTCTGTATTTGTTTTAAACTTTTATGAGTTTCTTTCTTCTGTTGAACACAAAATAATATACAGTATTTTGAAGAATAATGGAAACCTGTAACCATTGACTTGCATAGTGTTTGTTTTTCCTACTATGTTGATGTTTACAGGGTTTCAGCTTTCTTTAAAGTATTAATTTTTGTGTTCAACAGAAGAAAGTGACTCATAAAGTTTTGGAACCACTTGAGGGTGAGGAAATTGTGAGTTCATTTTCAGTATTAAAACCTTTATTTTTACAATGAAAGAAGCATATTGAGGTTAAATAACTCTTGCTAAGATTAACAGCTCACGTGGGTTTAATAACAGATACCATCATGCTTCCATTATTACACACATACAGTTGAAGTCAAAATTATTAGCCCACCTGAATTATTAGCCCCCACCACCCAAATTATTTTTTTTCTATTCTATTCAAAAAATGTATGAGAATTTTTTTTTCAACACGTTTCTAAGCTTAATAGTTTTTATAACTCATTTCTAATTACTGATTTATTTTATCTTTGTCATGATGACAGTAAATAATATTTTACAAGACATTTTTCAAGACACTAGCATTCAGCCTCAGCAATTTAAAAGCTTAACTATGTTATTTAGGTTAACTAGGCAGGTTTGGGTAATTAGGCAAACTATTCTATGATGATGGTTTGTTCAGTAGACAATCAAAGAAAAAAAAAAACATAACCTACAAAGAAAAAAAAATACAAAACATAAAGGCGCTAATAATTTTGATCTTAAAATGGCTTTTTAAAAAGTAAAAACTGCTTTTATTCTAAACAAAATAAAACAAACAAAACTTTCTCCAGAGGAAAAAAAAAATATTATCACAAATACTGTTAAAATGCTCTTGTTCTGTTAAACATCATTTCGGAAATATTTAAAAAAGAAAAAAAAATCCAAATGCGGCTAATAATTCCGACTTCAACTATACATTTGCATTTATAACTAGTTAGAACATCTACAGACCAGTGTTTTAGATTCCAAATGCTTTAAAATATTTTTAAAAGTAATTAGTGAAACAACGATTTAAGCTATGATTTAATTAGCATGTTCCAAGCAAAAAGAGCAGCATATTTATTATATATTGTAGTATAAAACATATACAATATTATAAACAGCATTTCGTGCTTCACACATTGTAACAGGCAATAACTATATATTTATTTTTTGGTTGAACTATCCCTTAAACCAACAGTGGCTTTATCAAAGAGCAAAATACCATAAAAAATTATATATATATATATATATATATATATATATATGTATATATATATATAATTTTTTTTAAATATATATATTTCCATAAAATAAATACCATAAAAATTAATATATATATTTCCCTGCCTAATTTTGTAATAAGAACACTTATGGGGTCAGAGATGGTTAGCAAAAAAACACTTTATAAACAACTGTTAGCTAAGCTTTGTAGCTTTGTAGCTTTTCACTAAAATGCATTTAGCTTTAAATATATTTTTAATAACTTAACATTGATAATTTTCTTTGTTTTACTGTTATTATCAAGTTTTCAATTAAACTAAAAAAAAAAAAAATATATATATATATAGTAAACCTGAATCCAACAACAACATACAAAGCACACCAATCATGCACATACAAATTCATAGTGAATAAATCAAAAAGTAACACCAACAGTCTTAAGCAATAAAATATGCAAATAGTTCTTAAATATTTTGTTAAATATTTAGTTTGATCAGATCCTTGCAGTGGAAATGCATTCATATAATTTCTTTGAAAGCCCACTAGAACTGCAGACTACAGTATATATGTATATATATAAATATATATATATATATATATATATATATATATATATATATATATATATATATATATATATATATATATATATATATATATATATATATATATATATATATATATATATATATATATACATATATAGTATGACTAAAGTATGACTGAAAACTATCTTTCCACCATATACACAACACCTTAACTCTGTCTAATTGTGATTGCAATGTAATTTTGTGCACATTTATAAAGCTGCTTTGAAATGATAACTACTGTGAAAAGTGCTCAAATAAACATAATTTGAACTTGAGTATCAACTGCACAGATGACATTTGACTCTATGTGGTCAGTCCCAGCATTACACTAAATGAGAGATTTACAGTATGTGGAAATGTCCTACAAACCATTGAAGATCCTCGTTTTGACTCAAACATTGACCTTTGACAAAGTTCAAAATTCGTTTCCAAAGACCAAGTGAAGATGCTCGTCAACAAACCTGACACCAACAACAACATACAAAACACTCAAATATTTTACAGACCATGCAGTAGCCTATATTTGGTAAAACATCCATGAAGCCACATTGCAATTCAACGCTGAAGCTGAGTTAGTTCATGGTAACTGACCTCTGTCCGTAGCTGGACTCTTTACGACGACAATGCAGCGTCACAATCCTATGTCCTTCTGTTCTGACGTCTTGACTAACCATCCAGAGCGTGGGGTTACAGGGTCGAGCACCAAGAAACGCCACTCCATCTTTTAACTTCACTCTGCAGTATATAGAAAGAGAGAGAAAAAAAAATCAATGCACTGCAGTAAATACATTACAACACCACAAATCATTCATTTCTTTAAGCATTTTTTTTTGACACGCCTTAGCATTTAATTGTGTTTTTGAAATTACGAGTTGCACTTTAATTGAAAATAGCTGAAACAAATCATTTTAAATAATGTTATGCTACCTAAACTCTAAAAAAAGTTTTTTAACTGTCCTTTTTACATAGCAATAGCTCTGTTTAGAATTGTGTTGTCCTGAAGAACACTTTTTATACTGAAATGTTCCTTTATACAAAGTGAGGTTTGTGTTTTTTTTTCCGGCCTTTTTTGCTTTTCAAATCTGTAACTGACAAAGCACCTATACCTTATAGGTTTTCTGAAGCGCAAACATCAACTACGTAGACTGTCAGCACTGTCAGCACAAAATCAATTTTAAATTTAATAAAAAATTACATTCATTTTAAAGTTAAATCAATTCTTTCTTAAAATATATTTCCATTTTAATTTTCAAAATGTAACTTGGCTTTGTATCATTCATTTTTCTTTCATTCTGTTTTTAGTTTATCTTGTGAACAGCTCTGTTCAGTTGAGCATGCCTTTTCTTCTTCTTTTCTCTGGGAAACTAACAGAGATGCCTCCAACCAACATTAACGGTAAGGTTTAAGCACACACACATAAAAAAAAAAAAAAGTAACACTTTATGATAACTACACACTATAAATTATTTACTAAGCGTTGGCAAGTAGTGAATTATTTGTTAAGCATTACTTCTATGTTACTAAATTAAGAATAAGGCTACACTGTAGCTTAGTGGTTAGCACTGTCGCCTCACAGCAAGAAGATCACTGGTTTGAGTTGGCATTTCTGTATGGAGTTTGCATGTAATCTTGGTATTGGCATGGGTTTCCTCCGGGTCCTCCGGTTTCCCCCACAGTCCAAAGATATGTACTTTAGGTGAATTGAATCAACTTATTGTCCGTAGTGTATGAGTGTGAATGAGTGTGTATGGATGTCTCACAGTACTAAGTAGCAGCTGAAAGGGCAGTTGGCAGTTCACTACTCTGTGGCCACGCCCACCCCTGATAAATAATGGGACTAAGCCAAAGGAAAATTAATGAATGAATAAAAGTATTGCATCATTTACAAACCATTATTTGAGAGAATTTGCTGATTTTTAAAGATTAATCAGAATTAGTTAGTAAATAATTAATAAATTATTCAAATGAACATTTATATATCTTATTATTCAGGCATATATTATTTGAGAGAATTTGCTGGTTTTAAACATTATTTAGAATGAGTTAATAAATGATTAAAAAACTATTAAAATTAACATTTACAGTATATATCTTATCATTTAGTCATGTGTTAAAAGCTAATTTATATGTTAATGAATGCTGTTTTAACTTAACTTCCTCCAGTTTTGTGACTTAATCTAAAGTGAGGTCTATTTATGCTTTATAAATTCCTTATAAATGACTATTGAAGGCACAGCTATTTTCTAAACAGGAAAAAAAAAGGAAAACAAATTACTTTATTAATTTCTATCCATTTGAAAATACACAGATGTAACTGGATCAAACAAAAAATAAATCTTTGCAACCTTAAATAAAATAAAATGACTGTACAGTTTAAACATTGCTAAATAACAAAATGTTGTTAAATTATTATTTTGTAGCTGTTTTATCTAATTTTGTGTTATATTTTGACACTTTGCAGCAATGTTTAAACTTACAGAACTTTTACTTTTTAGATAGGAGTACAAAGATGTATCGTTCATTTGATACTGAGCCATAAACTATCATTTATTAGAGATTTATAAAGCATAGTCCTCACTTTAGATCAGGTCACAAAACTAAAGTTGAAGTTGAGTTCATAAATAATTTATTAACATACAAATTATTTATTAGTATGCCTGAATAGTAATATATAAATGTTAAGTTGGATAGTTTATTAATCATTTACTAACTCATTCGGAATGATCTTAAAAACCCCAAACTACTCTTAAATACAATTGATAAAACTTAATTTAGTCATGAAAAATAAATCAGTAACAAAGTATAAAAATACAATTATTAAGCACATTTTAAATGTGCTTATAAGTCAAGAATACATCATGTGTATCTGCGGTTATAAACTGCTTACTAATGTCTATTTATGTAGAGTAAATGCTTAATGTATGTATGTTAACCATACATTCAATATGTATCTGTGCTTAAACCTCTTTTGAGTTCACTGTGTCTTATTTCCCAGATGACATGACCATAACAATGTTTATTTTGGGTTTTTGGGCGTAGTCATGCTCTGCTAAATGTAATGTGCAAATCCTAATAAGGTGTATTTTAATATGGACGTACTGTAAAACTGAACTGAACTAAAAATTGAAAAATAAAGGCAACTCCATTGTTACCAATTTTATAAAATCACATCACTGATTATTTACAGTTTATCTGACATTGTTCCTACATTTTCCACAAAGCATCATGGTTTGTAGAGAAAAAACTGGATACATAAGAGCCAATTTAAAGCATCAATACTACCCTACATTTTCCATTTCCAAAGCATTTACTTATTGCATCAAAGTAACACACTATTGAATATCAACTGTACAGATGACTCTCCACTCTGCACTGTAAATTACGACATTACACTAAATGAGAGATTGAGTCCTGCAAATCGCTGAAGTGCCTCAGTTTGAGTCTCTTTTCTGTGGTCTACACTTGACCTGCTGGAGAAAACAGTCCAAATCTGTACTGCGCATTTATCCAGACACCAGATTAACACTATTATATGCCTTCGTTTTTGTTATCTCAAGAGCTCTTATAGTTAAGTAGAGCTCAAAGGAGCTTTTGTGCACTTCAATTCTAGATTGTCATAAGATGAATATTTAGACACAAAATGTGAGCTAAAAAAATGTTTTGATACTTCACAATAAGAGATTTTCAAGACTAAAGATTCAGATTTCACAGTGAATAGTGTGAAAATAATGTATGATGAGTATAATCAAATAAGAATGCATGATAAAATGAAGGTAAGATGGCAAACCCCTTGTGCCAAACAAACTGTCAAACATAAGATTAGCATATTTTGTGGAGATGACACAAAAAGAACTTGTGATTGTAGCAGCTTTCTGTTAAGCTGTTATGAATAAGGCCTGCAGCTGTTTGTTCTGAATGCTAACAAAGAAACAATCTCTGAATGAGATGAATAATAAAACTTTTATGTCCTTATAGAATACTGTCGGTTCTTATTTTCACATATGAGAGCTTCTATTTAGAATGGCCAGACAGGCAGGGGTCAAAACAGGTGCAAACACAAGTATCAGGGGGAATCCAATATGCAGACAACAGGTTGGGCCTGGCAGCAAACAATTATAAACGGTAAAATAGTCAAAAAATACACAAAACAGGGGGAAAAACACAGGAATGAGAAAACCAGAAAATGGTCAATAACAAGACTTTGCAATGACTTACAGTTGATTCCATTTGGAAGCGCTCAAACCTAACAGTCACTAAATGAAACAAGTTATATTTTTTAAAAAAGGTTACTATGACCTAATAAAAAAAGAGTTATCATAACTTATGAATGGATTATAATAAGCAGAACTCAAAATGAATGAGTTACGAATACATTTTTTGTTTGTTTGTTTGTTTGTTTGTTTGTTTGTTTATTCTTAAGTCTCATTCACACTATTCTATTCAAATCTATTCATCCTTATTTCAAGAGTGCGACTTACAGCAACCTCCAGGTGGGCTTGTTCAGCGACATGACAATGTTGAGAATCCTTCATCATTATGCACATGAAGAGCGACTTTCTTGAGGAACAGCCAGTCAGCTCACTAAGAGGCCGGTTGTATTCGTGTTGTATAGACCTGCGTTGGAAGCAGGTCGCCACCCAGAGCGACAGGCAGCTACAAAGTCGCTGCTAGTGTGAATGAGAAATAATACTAGAAGCAACAACAAACCATTTGAGCAGCTATATAGTTGTTTGGACTTAATTTGTTGAACTCATAGCAATTTGATAACTTAACATTTTTAAGTTACTAATACTCTAAAAGTTTGTCAACACAAATAATATATGTCCATATGACTTTATTTAAGGTCATAGTCATATAGTTTACAGTTCTCAAACCATTTTCTTTTAAAACTTGAATGGTTTGCTGCAATAGGTTTCCTCGAACAGTTTAAGTTAAACTTTAATTATCGTGTTTATAAGTGACCTTTTACATTGAGTACAGTTTGTGACACCAAAAAACTTTGCTTTTCAAATAAACATAGTCCAAAGTGTCAATCATTTATATTTTTTTAAATTCTTTATGCCAAGGGGCTTTTCGAAATGGCCAATTTTGAGATCAGAACAACACTTCAATACGGTGGCGGATTGTGTTCACTTTGGAGTGCCCTTCGGAGGGCAGTTTGTACTGTCTGGAATGCACTGTGAATGTGAAGTGCTAAATAGTGTGTAATGTCCTGCAGCTGTGTCACTGTAATCAGCGTCCAGATTGATAACAGCTGTAGATGGTTGAACGGCACAATGCATGATGAGGTGTGTGGTCTGGGTGAATGGCTGGTGGAGGGTACATATAAATGAATTCTAGTGATGCCGCGGTCACACTAGAGTTTAAGCATCCAAAGTTCTTTGTCATGTAGCACTGCGAAAAGGGCTAGGATTAAACAAGATGATTATACATTTAAAAATTGAGTGATTGTTTCATAGTTTAAATTTCTGTACAGAGAGCGGTCACATTTTCATCTTCGATTGGTCTCATGCAGTCCAAAATGCGATTTCTTAGTTCAGAGTTCACCAAATTTCTACTAACTTCCAACTAACAGCAAAACTTGCCGCACAAGCTTGTGTTTCCAGTCTGCTACATACGCTTGTATTTGAATAGAAGTCTATGGGGTGAAAAGTGCAGTGTGATGGCAGCTTTAGTTTGGTGGGTACTCCAGCTAATACTCATGAGACTTGTACTGACTCACACAGAGAAGAAAA